ACTGGTCCAGGTACAGAATTGATGTTGTGACAACCAGGTATTATTTAAATTATTACATTTCGTTGTTCAATTGCAACATGACTGGCAAAGCTGAAGCAAAATGTGAAGGTGTCTTCAGAGCTCTAAATCTATTCTTTTTGAATGTTTCTGTGTGATTTGTTTCTGACTTATTTACCAAGCGTAAAACTAGTTGACTTGGGATTATGCGTGTATCACTTTAGTTACTTGAGTTGGCATTGGTATCACTGCTCTTAGCTTTACAATCAAATGGTTTATTATTGCTAGTTGGTCATTAACATCTATAGCTTATATCTGATGTTTAATGAAGACTCCAAGTGAAATCAATGTTGAAAGTCTCTAAAGAGTTCTCCTGTTGTGGTTTTTAAAACAGAAATCAGTACTGGACATGCACAACATGGGCTTCTATATGTTTATTTAATCTTATTAAAATACATCAAAGCTATCTATATTTCTATCTATATATATAAATGCTTGCTGGAGGTATGTACTCTTTTGAAGTTTTAAATTTTACCCGCTACCATTTGACTGTAATACATGTAATGCACGAGCAAGTGAATGAGTTTGACGCTATAAAGTTCACCAGAAATCGCATGTGCGGTAAACAAGAAGAAAGAGAGGTGCCAAGTCGTTTAAAGCCGACAAGACGGCTTTAAATGTCAAGTCAATATTTGAAAGCAAGGCCAACACGGACCGAGTTGGTCGTGCTAAGTCTGTGTATAATCTGTTATGAGACTACAATCTTCCATAATGATTTTGTTTACTCATCCACTGCCATCGCCAAAACTACTGGCAGTTATTTATAAAGCAGTGCAGTATATATTCATAACCTCTCCTGTTCACTGATTGGTCCGGTTGAAATTCAACAGAGGAATCAACTTTAATGGGAGAAAACCCAGATGGAACAGTGAAGAGAGACTAAAATCTTTCTTCTGAAGTAATATCATATTATCTAAAGTAATAGTACTCCAGAGAGAGGCCTGACCCATGTAAATGTTCACTTTGGGAGCAATGTTGAAACTAGTGTAAAAAAATTCACAAAATCTTTAACATTTCTGGTCATTGTTGAATCTGGAGACACCAATATCCCGGACAGTTCATGATTTATCATGGTGGCCCATGCAGAATCAGTAAAAAGTCCACACTTCATAAATCAAAATGTCAATGTATTATTTAAAAGCCAATGACTTATTTATTGCTGGTTTATGTTCATACTAAACCTGGTGCCACTGAGCCCTGTCAAAACATTAAAAATTAATGCAAAACAATCCATAGTATTCATTAATAAATGCTTTCAGGTCATTCATCATAATCCACTCAATAGTAGGTTGAAGTTATCAGAGCAAATTGCCGTTTGTAGTAATTCTTTCAACAATAAAATGCTAAAAATTTGCCAAAAAAACTTTGCTGCTTTGCTACTAGGAGTAGCTAACAGTCTTTAGATGTTAGGATTATTTACTGTGTCTATAGCTTTTTTTTCTTCTGCCATTTCTCCTGACGTTTTTATGGATGACCCCTCATAGGACTCATTCCAGCTCATCCATCAAATGAAGGCTCCAAATAGAACAGCTTACGGATGCCATTAAAACTATTATGGGGTGATAACAATCTCCTCACCTCAGCCTTATTTCAGCGATAAAGACCTCAGATTCATTCTCACTTCATTAATATACCGTCTTTCAAGCACTATGGCTTCCTCTCTAGACAAGTTTAATCTCATATATATATATTTTTTTCACTGGATCACCACATCCATAAAAGAGGGATTGTACAGTATAAATGTATAGTAGCTTGGTGGCTCATTTTTCTATATATAATGTTTTCCTTCTTTTTTATTTAATTTTTTAAATGTTTTTAGAAAGAAGGGCCATAGTCTTATCATGTCCCTGCGGGAAAACTTACTTATGGATGCACTGGCGTAGTTCCTCTTGCACACAGACTGAGCTGCATTTTTCTTCACAGTGGGCTATAGATGGAGACAGAAAAAGGGATGCTTTCTCACCTTGGGGGAGCTATGTTGGAGGCCAGATGCAATTTGACTTTGCCTGCTTAAAAAACAGCAGATAAGAAGAAGACAACTCATACTTTAAGAAAAAAGCATTGTATTTATAGTCTTTGCCTATTTTCTTTGCATTATTTTAGTTTTATGTTTATGTCCACTGTTACTCATATGACTTTAAGAGGATTTTGTGAAGACAAGCAGTTTTGAGTTGTTTAATCCTACTCTGTGATTTTTCTGACTGTATGGTCTTGTATTAAAACAATTGTACCATAAATAGAGCGATCGTAGCTTCGGTGAATGTTTGAAAGAAATTTGATCTTAGCAAAGTGGAATGAATACAACAGAAATGTGCCAAACTTTACTCATTCTTAACAATGGGTGTGCATACCCAGATAATATCACCCCTATATCAAACATTTAGTGCCAGAGGAAGTTTAACATTCTTTTTTTTTCTTTCATCCTTACAGCAATCATTGAAAATCTCAGTTTTTGTCCTTTCATGCTTTGCATAAAAATTACAGTCTATACAATAACCCTGAAATGTGTTGTGGTGGGAGTACTGTTGCCTCACAGGAGTGATTATGTCTTATGGTTTTTGTGTGTGGACTTTGCATTCTGTGCAAGTACAGCTATGAAAATATATCTTATGTAGACCAAGGAGAAAGAGAGCTAGACATTTGCTCATTGGCCAAAAGTCTGTTTTACATTTAATTTGGATTTACATAACATTTCTCTTTTGACATTAAATTAAAAGAATAACCAAACCTTGAGAGTTGTAGCAACTGAAAAAAACTTTGGTATTATTAAGGAAGGACTATGGTTGCAAAGAGAAAAGTACCGCTTTTAATATTTCAGTCCCCTGCTGACCCGGTCTTTGAACCAATCTAGTTGGATGAAAGCTGTTGAGCACTCACTGGGAGGAACCAAGTGGTTGAACTCAATTTACATCTGTCTCAAATGCTTTTAAATGTTTGTTTAATTCAGGATTTAATTATTTTTCAGAATGTATCTAAAGATTCTGTGTTAAATTGAGTCGGTGAACACAGAAACGTTGCTTGGAGCTTGAATGATGAAACAGGAGAAACAAGTTTTCAATGTGTTTTTGAGAAGAGTGGATTGGAGTGGAAATATAGTGTTCAAGTTGTTACTTATGTTAAATGAAAGTAAATGCAAACAGTCATCTGTGGACTCATTTGAAGTCCTCTGATTTTTTTCTTTTCTGAAGGGAAACAATGCTGACCAGTAGGATGCAATGATTTGGGAATTGTGTAATTCATCTATTCCTCCACAACATGGTCATCCCACCAGTGAGCTATGTTTATGGCTGTAAAATTTGTGTATTTTGCAAAACACCTTACTTTTTGAATCACAGCAGTCATGTTATCAATAACTGGATGTTACTACTGGTGGAAAAGATGAGAAACTTGACAAGAGTCGATAGGAGGGTGAGGGTTTTAATGACTTGTCGCTTGTTATTCGCAAAAAAAAGAAAAATACAGATTTTTGGTTTTATTTTTTTTTACATTATAATGGAAACACTGCTATTGGCGAGAATTATAGATGATTAAAGTCCCTAAGGGCTACGTTTATAGTGACTGTAGTCTTCATTTGCAACACATACAACAAATGGTTGGAAAGGTTTATTTAATATTACTTTATAGGGATGTAGATTTATTTATTTTTATGTTTCAGACACTGTTGAGAAAACTTGCTGGTCATTGAAGTGGAACCATTGAACATAGAATAGAGTTAGGACAACAATGTTGTTCTAGTGATGCCATTTGACCTATGAATAACATCTGAATGATGGCATCCAGATGTTGGTTTGTGTAATCTGGTTGGAGGTAGTCAACCTTATCTTAGACAGTCCACAGTATACCCTAAATATGTTGTCACTACAATGATTTGGGCACAGGGTGTTTATGAAAATAAAATTGGATATGAAACAAGCGGGGAGGTTCATTTCTAAAGTTCCACTGCAAAAACAGATCCTTCTCTCTTTGTATTGGATTTTGTCTGGACACAAAGTCCAGTATTTTTGCAGAAGAGACAGCAAGTTAATTGAAGATGATGTTCTAGATAACAACTCCTGAGTGGACCATTTTTCTGTGTTAGACCTCAGCTCTCTGTTGCGCTCTACTCTTTCCCTACTCCTTTCTTCTTCTATGTGTTCCCTTACCCTTCTATCAAGGTCACAAATACATCCAGAGTCTGTGGCTTCCCTCTGTGTGATCACAAACATGACCACTGTGTCACAGTGTCTCTCTGACAGGCAATTTCACTGGAAAGATTATACTTTGATGTTGGTATGTGATGGCTCTCAGCGTTCTTTTCTGTCACGTGCTGAGGATTTTTGAAGGTGTCTTATCATGATACTTATTTTAGACCAAATTTGCAAAGATTAGCACAGGATTATTGCATCTTCTCCCTGATCTATATCTACAGTTCAGTCAGTTTCAAAACAAAACAGCTTTTAGATTCAGATAAAGCACAGTTCCTTGCAAGTATAACCTAACACCAACAAATACATATTTCTTTAAAGAAAGCCATGACAACCACCATTTCCAGTTGATCATAACCGTAGTAATGGATACAGCAAATATATTGAAGAGGGTGATCTGGCCACCATTGAGCTTTTATGTATACAGGGTGTTTACAGTAGTAGAGCTACTACTCCATATATGAAGGCTATTTGTTTTTGGCGCAGTCTTGCAAGGTTTGATTCCTGACCTCTTTAGCAATAATGTATGGGTTCCGCTGTTCCTTCTTCTGATCTTCTTTCTAATTACTTTAAAAAAGCAACAAGATCTTAAAAAAGAAGAGTGTATGTGGAGTAATGTGGAATGCAGATATGTCACACACAAAAACTGAGTAATTCCTGCTAAATGTTTTGTTGCAAGCTGTTGAATCCTTATGATCCCACAGCTTAATATTGTCTTTCTCATCTTTCTGATCCTGATTCATTTTCTTCCCACCACAGCAAGGGAAGAAAACGTTGCCACCTTCCGTGGTTCGGAGTACTTCTGTTATGACCTCTCCCAGAACCCAATCCAGAGCAGCAGCGACGAGATCACGCTGTCCTTCAAGACGTGGCAGCGTAACGGCCTCATCCTGCATACGGGGAAGTCAGCTGACTACGTCAACCTGGCTCTAAAGGACGGTGCGGTCTCCCTAGTCATCAACTTGGGTTCTGGAGCGTTTGAAGCCATCGTTGAACCGGTCAACGGGAAATTCAATGACAACTCATGGCATGATGTGAAAGTGACCCGGAACTTGCGACAGGTAAGGCCCAGTGTTGGGGAAGATTACTCCACATGCAGTTAGATTAGAAACTTGTTTGTTTTGGACAGTGCTGTTCATTTCATGCCTCTCCCCTTAACCTGGCTTGTTTTTGTGTGCACAGATGTTCAAATTAATTTTATGTATTTTATTTATAATTTTTTAGTAAATTCACATTTTACCCAACCCACCTTTTTGCCAAGACTACAGGTACTGGACCCGACTTGGTAAACAAACTCCACTGTATGGTAGATATCATTTAACTCATTGTCATACCTTAGTTTGCAATCTCTCTTTTCTTCCTCCTGTGTGATTTCTGGCTAAGTTTGCTGAAAATGGCACCAACAGAATTAAATTACTAACTGGGCTCGGATGTTTTTTTCTCACTCTCTTAAGTCTTCTTTTCTGATTGTTTCACTTCAATATCAAACTCTACATATGTAGAAATCAGGTCGACTCATGCATCCTTTTACTGATTAACACAAGGCAAGACACACTGCAGGAGGCAACTGAATCTAACCAAACTAAAGCATTTTACCTGTAATAAATTCTCAGTAACAGTAGTTAATTTGGGAGTACTTTGGACCCATGAGGAGCTCACCCATTACGTGCTCCAGTAACTGCCTGACAATAGACCCCTGCTTATTTGCAGTTCAGAATTTGCTGATTTTTCTATGGATCTGACTCCACTACTTTACTTCTGTGGACTAACCAGTTTAAAAGTTATTGGCAACATGAGAATGAATTTTAGTTATGAATTTACTGGCAAGGCAATTATATAAACATTATCTAAAAAAGTAAGTCTGAATTTTCAACTTACTGACATTCATTTAGTATTGAGTCAGTAAAGAATGAATAAAGATCAGAAATGTTAAAAATAATAATAAGTTCGACTACAAAGACAAATTTAAGTCCAGTAATATTAAAAATAAGTTTAGAAACTTCTTAGAAATTTAAATCAATCAAATACATGTACATTTTACAGGATGATGATTTATATTGAAATCTATTCAGAATAGCAAAAATGGGAGAGATCTGCACAGATCAGAGCCCACAAGTGAAACTCTGACCAATAAGAAAAGCTATTAAAAAATGAATTGCTCTGTTTTTATTGGCTATTATGTCAGTCAATCGTTGACCATTTAAAATGGTTACATTCTTTTATTACAATGCAACTGAATGCATCAGTAATACCTAGTTAATTACTCTAGATTTTTATCTTTCTATGAAAAAAAAATGTTAAATTAGGGATTATGATTCCATGTTTTATAATTGTATTGGTCACAGTTGTTTAGCAGCGCAGCTTTCTTTCATAAATTGGTCATTTCTCTTGCTGCACTTCTCTGTCCTGCATGTTTGCTTTTGATTTGTGTGCAATGCAAACCATTTAAGTTGGCTTTTCTTGTTGATCTACAGCAGTAAAATTAATCCAATCAATTCAGCCAATTTTTAATTTTAATTATTGTAAGTATAAGTATGTTCTTTAACAAGTTGCATCCATAATCTGAAAGAAAGAATATTAAATTGCTCTTTTTGTGCCCCTGCGGTTGTCAGGTGACGATATCTGTGGATGGGATTTTGACCACCACGGGTTATACCCAGGAGGACTACACCATGCTGGGCTCAGATGACTTCTTCTATGTGGGTGGGAGCCCCAGCACAGCCGACCTGCCGGGATCTCCAGTTAGCAACAACTTCATGGGCTGTCTCAAGGAGGTAATGTAGCATTCTCACAGAGATAAATGTGTTGCTACTGAATTTCAATGAGGCCACAAGAAGCCTGTAAGCTTTCACTACAAATCCTGACTGCACAGATGTGGAAATCAATTTTATTAGGTCCATAGAGACACGGTTCAATCCACGATTTTGAGTTTTTTGGGGGCTTTTATGCTAATTTGGATTAGGTGAAAATGCAGATAAATAGAAACTGTGTAAACCAAAACTGAAGAGTTGTTAAATTTGAAAGAGGTGGAAGTTGATTAGAAAATAGACATGGATAAATAACATACATAGTGTGCCACTCTTCAACTTCATTTAGTGACTCGTGAACAGTTCTATGACCTCTATGGAATGATTATGTGTCATTTGACAGCAGTAATTTATAAGAAATAAGTATAAGCGACACAAGTTTGAATTTATTGGTTTCAATTTTTGTGTTCTGAAGGAATATCTTCAGACAGTCCAGGTAGCTGGTGCTGATATTGCTAAACTGGCCTCACTGGGAGGCACTGTGTGGCCTACAGATAAATTTCTTGAAGTTTCTTGGAAAAATCTTTTCATCTGAAGGTAACGTCTTTCAAGCCTCAGCAAATTTTTTTAAAACATCTGCAAAAAAGCAACTTCCGTTTAGTTTTCTGAACTGATGATACTGGAATCTGCAGATATTCAGTATTGTTCAACTTATTTAAATCTACCCTTTTCCATATCAAAGCTTCTCAGGGTTCCTTAGATTCCATTGTTCTGAGTTTTTTGTCAATCCAATGAGTTGCAGTGTCGCTTACAGGAAGATAAGAAGTTGGTTTTGTTAATTTTAAAGACATTCTACCACTTTTCATTAAGATTTAAGTGAATGTTATGTTTTAGCTTTTATTAATAAATGTGGCCCTTTGTTTTAAAATTTGACCTAAAGTTCCTGAAGGCGCTATAAAGTATGTGGTGCACAAAGTGAGTCTGGATTTACAGGCTGTGCTTCAAACCCACTGCTACTGTGTTTCTTATATTTGGTGTTATTAGCGAGAATTTTCTTCAGAGACAATAACTAAACCTTAAAGCTAAAGGAGAGGTTCCCCTTATATACAAAATACTTGAGATTAAATTGATTATATGTATGCACACATTGAAATAACAACTGATTTTTTTCAGTTACTTTTTTGTTTCATGCTACTAAATCCAAGTGGTAACCCAGCTGAGCAGCAGACTGTGAAAGCGGCTTTTAAAGGTTATTGCATCCTGATACCAATACCCAAGACGTGAAACTTGGCTCAGAAAGTCAACACACACAAACACACACACACCCACGTGTGGACAAATATATTTCTCCCTGAAGCTTATGATGTCATATCTTTGCACTTAAGTAGAGCCAGTGGAGTGCACTGTGACTGCAGGGGCTTGGCTTTCTCCATCTCACACACACACACACGCACGCACTCACTGAGTGTACAGCATCATATGGCTGCAGGGCGATGGAGGAAGTGGCGCAGCAGCCATTTAATCCCCCTCTGGCCTACTTCCTGCTCTGTGGCACGCTGGGCCTTTTTTCAGTTCTCTGCACCACCCACTCCCACTCCTGTCATGCATGTGCATGCCCCCCCCCCCCCCCCACACACACACACACACACAGATGCACAGATAATTAGAGATGTGCACAGCCATGCATTAACTGATTCATGAACCACAGAGTCAAATATGAAAGGTGGTGTCACAGTATGAAAAAGAGGGAAGAGCATTTCTTTTTTGTTTTGTTTTTCCTCTGATGTGAATACAAGCAAAATTCATTAACATACAATGAAGCAGAGTAAAAGGATGCACAATGTTGTAGCGTAATCTTCTGGAAAATGAGCTGCTATTTTAAGGTTTCTTATTTACATTTTTTATACTTTTAAGATGCATACGGTTCATCTTTATGCAAGTTCAACTAATTGCTATCACACACTCACTGCATTTAATGAGTCCGGCCACAAACTTGTAAAAACCTAGACCTCATGTATGAGCTTCACTGCAATAATTTTAAACTTACTATCTGTACTTCATTCCTATATGTGCTTTGGATAAGACATAATTTATGAACAGTTTAAAGTTTTGTTAGATTCAGAGTTCAAATCTGGAAAGGAGTCGAGTCATATTGTTGCTTCAGTCCCAGTATGACGCATATATTCCCCATTTCTCTTTCTGAACAGGAAGTTACCTGATGTGCTATTGCAACCACTCAATGTTGCATCAGATTTAGGGATTAAATTGTGGCTTTCCTTAACTTTAAGTTTAATTTCAGTCAATTCTAAGGCATTTTATTTAGAGATACGTGGTGATCACAAACTTTTCCTGAAAGACTCTAGAGTTTTGTGAAACTGTTTGAGTTATCAAAACATTATCAGTTTCTCAGAGCATATTTGCATATTTACGCCTATTTTTCCGGTTCTACTCCAACTAAAAACAAAATTTTGGATAAAAATGAACAATCGATTTTTTTGACTTTATATACTTTAAAATGGTGAGCAAATTAATGCTTGCTTAAATTATTACAAATTCATCCATATTGGTTTGGACAGTTTTTAGGTCACTCCCAAAAATCCCTATGGGTTTCTCTGAGCACCCAGTCAGGAACCCCACTCAGCCAGCTACACATCTGCAGCACCCACCAGTTCCCCCCAGTCTGCAGTCCGGTACCTCCTCGTTCTTCTCTCTCTGCCATTAGGGCTAATTTCCCTGCTGCCAGTGCTCTTGTCCTCGCCATCCGCTGTGCAGCATTACGGATAAATGTTTTGTTACCATGGCACCAGGTGCTGGTTGCCCTTGGTAGCTCCTTCGGCTGGCCGGCCCGTGATTATTATGCCTTTCATAACCAGCAATTACAAAAAAAGCCTACATCTCCGAGCCTACAAAATACATAATGGCCTACAATAACACATAATTGGTGTAATTGTGGTTGTCATTACACCTCCATCAGCCACTCGTATGGAGGCCTCTGGCTGTGGAGCGTATACTGTCGCCAACAAAGAAACACAAAGGAGGAGTTCACGGACCGGACAGCGAGTACAAGCAGAAAAGAGACAAATGATGGCTGTTGTCTGATGACTCTTACTCCTTCACATTGATTTATTATTATTTCACCATCATTTATTCATCGTTTCTATGCTGATGGGTCTTTGGAAAAATTTTATTTTTTTACTCCACTAAATTACACCCAGTAAACTACAGAAAATGAACCAATTCCTTGCCAATTAAAAAGAACACAAAATTAACATATTAGCTGGAGTTATAGGGTCACAAACTCAGCTTAGGTGTAATCCATGGACAACTTTGTGATCTACAAGTAAAAATGAATTGTTTTTCAAATATAAAAATAAAATCTTGCCAAGATTCTCAGTCATTTTTTTTAGATCTTAGCATTGCAGTCGCATGAAGAGCTTGAATTCACCGCTGTGAAAAATGTTTCCAATGACTTTCTTTTTTTTTTTAACTGAACAAATAATTATCATATTCTTCCTAATTTGTTGGAAGACGTTGATATTTTCAGCAGTCAATGGCAGAATTGGGATAAAACTTGGTTCTTGGAAAAGATGCATACAAGATGGTTTCACTCATTCCTCTACATATAACTCATCATTTCTTCTCCAGATCAACAATTATGAGTAAAAATAACTTTTTGCCAATTTCCTGCTGTCCAATCCTGCACTTCCTACATAGTCTCACTCTGTCTTTAAAGTTTTTCCCGGACAGAAGAGACTTCTTGCTGCATTCACACCTACCTGCTGCCATTGCTTCACAAGCTTTGCATTGGCAGCAACAACTTCCACAGGAGGAAATGATCCCAGAGCTGTCTGGAGGCTTTCCTTTTTCACTGCAACTGAACTCTTTGGTTTAAAGTTGTGTGATCTAAGACAAAAACTTTGATTTGCAACATTACTGCAGTGGTTTCGTGGATGTATGAGGCCATTTTAATGCAATCCCAAGATAACTGCATGCTTGATAGCAACCACGGCCAATAAGTCTATTTTGTTTCAAATAATTATTTTGGGTTGAGTCCTTCAAAGGACTCCACCCAAGCATAGATTAACAGGCTCACCTGTTAATCTATGCTGAAAAGTTAATCATCATTGGACAAACTGCAGTGAAAGCTGAGTTTGCAAATTTGCAATAAATTAATTTTATCGCAAAACACAAAAACCAGAAGCTTTATGGGTTGCAAAATGCATTCTCTACCAATTCATTAACGCTTGACCTATAATATATTATGACCTTTTGCTCAGAACAACTGTGAACATTATATAAAGATGGTAAAACGGCATCAAAATGTGTCTGTGCAGACTCAGGCAGACATTGAGAAAGCCTCACAGAACACAAAGGAAGAACAACTGTACAGTACCATAGTTAGATGAAAATTTGAGCAGTTAAATTAGCCCCAGCGCTTAATCACTGCTCAGGTTGTCTTAGTTATTTTTTAACGGATTCAGTCTGTATAACTCATACATATCCACGTACTCAGAGCTTGTCTCTATCAAATTAAACAAGTCATTTTCCAAAGGTGCCATCATTATACTGGACTGACTGATTGGGCTATTGGCTCAGTTTGTGATCCTCTGCAAAGCAAACCCTGCCCCCCTGTGGACAAGAGCACACACTGTCAGGGATTTGATGTTGCAAAACACTCCTCAAATAGTCTCGTGTCAGAACCATGTGATCACTGATACTACAAGAACCAACACCAGCAGCAAGGTGTTGAGGATTACAATGATATGCAGATATTTCTGCTGAAGAAGAGGTTTATGTGCTAAGCAAATATTAAGCAAGAAAAACCTTACATCTGCTCCACAAAGAGAATAAGACTAAGAACATTTATTTTCTTAGAATAAAATGTTTTCCTTTTATATTTCTTAAGTTTATAAGGGAAAGCTTAGTTTGTTTTGTGGGACCACAGGTTGAGAGTGTGTGACTTTTGTAGGATTTCTCAGGTGCAGATAACACCTGAGTCTGTGCTGGTCGCCAATCCAGAGAGGTAATTTCAAGCCTCAGTCATATTGTGTAACAGTGCTCGTTCTCACACACCGATAAGGGACTGTGCGTGTGTAATGATGTGTGTCCTAGACGCCTGGTCAGAGAGATAATGCAGTGATGGATTTCTTTCATCTGACCATTGTTGAACATTTTCCCTCACCTCTGCTGCTCACACACACACACACACACACACATCCTCAAATTTCCATGCGTGTTTGTGTGCACATGCATGCTTTCTTTGCTCAGAGCGGGTATTCCTCGAGCTTCATTCTCACGTTAACCTGCCGCCGGATCTGCAAAGTGCTGATAAAGCTCCCTCCGCATGTTGAAAGGCTCTTTCTGTACATATTGTTCGGAGGTGGCAGAAAGCTGAAAGTGACTTGTCAAATTGTCATCTATACCCTCCGCTTGTCCCTCCTCCTTTCCATATGTTCCTTTTTGTAATGATTTATGACATGTTCTATTTGTGAGTGTACAAATATGTGCTGCATCTACATCAACAGAAAGTGCATGTTGGAGTCTCTCATGATGTTTTCAATTTTGTTGTAATTGTGCATTTATCACAGAATATACTCACTATCAATATTTCTGCTTCTTTTAATTTTTTGACATACTTAGAACATTGCTAAAATGTCAAAGGTATCATGATTAACTAATAAAACAAATTTTAAATGATAATTTAAACTCAGGGAAAACGCTGTCCAAACCACCTTGAGCCCATGTAAAAATATCACAACCGCATTTGTAAATAATGACTTAACTGATAAACCACAACCTGGCCTGATTACCTCCTAGACTAATTGAATCAGTAAATCACCTAACTAGAAACTAAAAATATTAGCTTCTCTAATCTATACTATATTTCATGATTAACCCAGGAGAGTAAATAAAATTTAACCCAATGGATAAGTTATTTTTCCGAAGTCACAAAAATCCTTTTTGGTTGTTTAATCATAAAATAATATATTTTTTGTCTTCCCAGACCATTACAAGACTCTTGTTTTATGAGCAATTGTGTGAAAATAGCAAGATTTCATAACACTGACAACACAGTAAAGTAAATATATGTATAACACAAAAGCAACACATAATGTACAAGACAACAAGTTAAGCTGCTGCTGGTTGATTTTATTGCCAGAAAAAAGATTTTAAAAACAAGAAACAAGCTGAAAATATTCCTCTTTTTTTATTTAAGATAGCATTTGTGTATAAATTATTATTTGGTTTTATAAAGCCAATATGTTTCACAACAAAGCAAGAGAAACATGTTTTGCCATGTTATTTTATAAATTCTGGTTTTTTCTCATATTGCTCTTTCTCTTCTCAAAAGACTTTTATTTTTGCGCCTCAGCTTCCTCAGTCTGAGTGCAGGTGTCGTTTATCGGCATCCTCCAACACTTCCCAAGACTAGACTGATACTTTCTTTTATTCCATTTTGGAGAGAAGAGACTGAAGCTGTTCACTCGTAGAAAAAGAGGTGGCTCTTTATGAAATGTTGGAAAATCCAATATAACGACTGGAGCAGCGAGAGGAGGAAAAATACTAAACAAAGAGGAAGGAAAGAACACAAAGACAAAGAGAGAAAAGGAGAGGACTATTTTCTGTGCGGTCCCTCGGCTCCCTTAGGGATGATCTGATTTACTGTCAAATATGCAGCTGGATTATCAATATTCTGAGCCAAGACCCTCAATCTATCCTCACATCCAGCAGAGCTGTGGTATCTGAGATGTTCAAATAAAACAGGAAAAGCAACAGAGCAGAGGCTGTTTGTCTTGTTCATGTCTGTGAACCCACCAAAGACAGACTCTGAGTGTTTCTCTGTCCCGAGAATTAGAGGAGAAAAAAAAAAGAGGCCTTCAATTTTCCACTCGAGCAGATTTCAATTTCCACACTCATCCCCCTCCGTGACTCCAGCCTCCCTTTGTTCACGACAACATTTAGGCTGCTGGGATGAAAGAGACTGTTTCTCAATCATTTTTTTCCCCATCACTCGATCAAATGGAGTAACCGCATGTGTTTTGATGCAGCTTCGGGATACAGATGAATTAGGAATAACTGGAAGTCTGCACCATCATCTGTGCTTTCCTTTTTGGCAAATGCTTCACTAGACAAAGGAGCAGAAATTAGAAGATAAAAATTGGCTACATTTTTGTTGATGTGGTTAAAAATGAATAAAACTTCACTGACAGAGAGGTTTTGGGTTAAAATACAAACTCATAATTAGCTTCTGCTAAGAAAAAAAGAAGCTTCACATCTGCTTGACAGTCTGTTTTCACCCTTGTTATGCGAACCTACCATGACATTATGTTGACAAATTATTTTAAAGGAAAACAAAGCTAAACTATATACATAGTTTAGCTATATTGTCTTGTTAAAGAAGACAATATATACAGAGCCATTTTAATTTGAGAAGGATGTTTTTTCTGTGTCCAGTGGTAATCTTTTCTCCTGACACCAGTTAACTTGGAATGCACTGCAGTGAAAGGACAAAGGATGATGTGATATCAATAGGAAAACAGTTTCTGTTTCAGATAAACGTTAAGGATGACTCTGTGGATATGCAGCACACAGACCTTAAAGCCTTGAGCAAAACACATTATTCAGAGGCGAATGAGCCATGATTAGACTACCTACAAAAAAAAAAAGAGGAAATGTAAACATCATAATTTTTCCAAAAGGATTTGAATAAATGATAATAAATTCCAGATTGTGGAATATTCTTGTTTATCCACTCCCTTCTTAACGACTTTGACACATTTCAGTCCCGTTTCTGTGCTCAACATTTCTGTGTCAAAATATTAAATTATATCCACATAAATATGGACTGCTAACCACTCCAAGCATGTTTTACCCTCGCCAAGACCTTGTACGGCTGCAGAAACCCATGAGAAACTGATCAAAAATTGCAGTATGTTTCCTAAATAGAATAGTTTATCTCTGAGTTGAATATTAGAATCATGTCACTAAATTTTCAAAAATTTTGAGGAGGAAATTGCTTGAAGAACACATGTAAAGGCTCATCATATTCTTAACGCAGGATACAATATGATAATAGCAAAAGAAATCAGTGGGGTGGAACACTCAATGTTCTCAAAGAACACTGAAGAATGAATCCCAATCTGTGTAACATAGTGCATTTTGTCTCTAGTTAGAGCAAATATCTGTTTTTCAAAAATAAAGTTAATAGAAGCAGGAACATTGAGGTGGGTTTAAATTATGTCTTTTATCAACAAATAAGTATTCAACTGAATGCATCATAATGTAATCTCATCCGGGTGATACATCATCATAATAAAACTGTCAGAAACAAAGCAGGAAAAAGTGAGGGAGAAAATTTATGGGTGTATGATCTCTCTGACCTTCATAATGGATCAATAGCAACACTGTGCAAACTGGATAAACTTCAGCTTATTCCTAATCTCTTGTTTAATACTGCAGGCACAAAAAAAGCTTTTGTGAAAAATTGTAACTACAGCATTAGGTGAACTTAAGTAGATCCCGACTATGGTTTTCTGAGGTAATTCCTTGTCCGTCAGCGATTGATCCAGTCCTGGTTTTGGATGCAGAGCCATCGAAGGGATCAGAGGTCATGGCTGTCCAGCTTTGTCTTGGTTTGTGAAATTTCTTCTGATCCTTTGATGATATTCTACTGTATGGAGGGAGAAGTATTTTTGTGAAAAGCAAATAGATCAATGCTTATTTACTCTTATTCGGGCACAATCAAGCACAAACTTGTGTATGATATTTTCTGTAAAGATATAAACATTAACATATTAGCATATCAAAGCTAACACTGACAGTCAATCCAAACACTTTCACAACCTCAGATACATGATCCAAATGCTCATCATGAGTATAAAAATAACACTATGCAAATCATAGTCACTTGTGGGTTAAGCTTAACATATTTTAAATTATGTCTCATTCATTTTATTGGGGAGTGGAACAGGAATATAACCCACGGGATTTGTCTGAATAACTTTTTCATGTAATGCTATTTGCTTCTTCAAGTTGTGAAAGTTTCCACACAAATTTTGTTTGCTCAGTTGGTCTTAAAAAATTTTGCAATCTCTGATCCTTCAACAGGCGCAATTGTTCGTTGTGAGATCCCCAGTCAGATTATTTTATGTATTTAACTCTCATATCCAACACCATTGGATTTAGGCATTAATATTTATGTTGATAGAAAGACCTAAGAGATTTTTCTGTAATACTTTTCATTAAAATCTTTTGTTGTCTGTCATCAACCAGTTTATTTGCAGATCTTCATCCAAAAGATTTAGGTTCACACTGTGAGAAGGGCTGACAAGAGCTTTACCTCATCAAGTTTTTTTGCTTTATCACAGGGCTTGCTTGTTTTTTGGAAAACAAATTAGCAAAAATAGCCAAAATTGTTCCTTCTTTACCTGACTTTCCTTAGGTAGAACAAATTGTTCTTAGTCGTGTATTTTTCATCTTTGGCTATTTTATTCTTAGGGTAATATTGGAAATGTATGAGTACTGAGATAAAATACATCTCTCATCATTATTTAGAATCCTTAATAAAAGGTTAAGCTATGTATATATATATTTTTTTTCAAATGGAGGATGTGTCCGTCATTATATAGTCTCAATAGGCATGCTGTTAATTAACAGGAGCTTGAATAGAAATTCATTTTCACAGATGAGGACTGTATTCATCTGGAAAACCCAGATAATTATTTTTTTTTAATTCTTTGTTTAATTGCAAAAAACATAAATTGAAGTGCCATTTTAATGTCATGCTTTTCAGCTGATTGTGACTTCATTGTTGCATTTAGAGAAGAGTACGCAAATCAATAATTTACTCATCACAGGTGGTGTACAAGAACAATGACATCCGTCTGGAGTTGTCCCGGATGGCTCGGATTCTGGATCCAAAGATGAAAATCCAAGGTGAAGTGTCCTACAAATGTGAGAATGTGGCCACGTTGGACCCAATCTCCTTTGAGACTCCTGAGGCGTACATCAGCCTCCCCAAATGGAATACCAAGAGAATGGGATCAATCTCTTTCGACTTCCGCACAACCGAGCCCAATGGACTCATCCTCTTCACTCACGGAAAGCGTCAGGAGCGCAAAGATGCTGCCCGCAGCCAGAAAAACACCAAGGTCAGTTTGTGGCACCTGAAATATATGTATTTTAATTTTTACTCCCATTTCTACAATGTTCCTCTCACCATGTCTGCAAATGCAGGGTATTGTAGGACCAAAAAATATGTTGCTTTTCCTTATAGGTGGATTTTTTTGCTGTGGAGCTCCTAGATGGGAGCCTGTACCTACTATTGGATATGGGCTCAGGGACAATAAAGGTGAAAGCCACCCAGACAAAAGTGAATGATGGGGCATGGTACCATGTGGACATTCAGAGAGATGGACGCTCTGGTAAGCAAAGTAGCTGTTTGTAGAAATGGGAATTGCTGTTGATGATTTAGACTCACTGCCTTTATAATTAAGCACTCAAAGGGAATGATCAGGTTTTGACACAATGTGTATTTGCCTACCGACTATTTTGTTTGGTAGGAGCAACCATTCTAGCTTTAGCCAACCCCACTATGTGACCCCTATCAAACTTTATTAGTACTGATAATGTGTGTCCCAGAACTCCTCTGTCTACAGATCTTCATGTTGTTCTGAATGTTAGATAATTGAGGAAATACCTGTGTGACTTACGACAACTTGTAAGTCACACAGACAGCCCAACTCCTTCATATCAAGTCATTGACATCTACATGTTCAAACTTAATATTTTAACATTAAGATTAAAAATGGTCTGTCTTTAACCATTACTTAAAGAAAATATAAGTAAAAACCAGTGATGTGTACTTGTGTCAGTGACTTAGACTCCAATTACACTCTGAAAGCTTTTTCAGGAAAGCCATAGCTAGTAAAGTTTCAAATCAGGCATCTCTTTTTCCCTACACTGCTAGTGTACCGCTACACTAGCTTCATATTCTTTACAGATTCTAAATATCCTCATAAAATTAGGGCATCACTAATCTTAACCACTAGTTGAGGTTATCAGAAAAAAATCTTGACTTTTTCTAGCAGCAAAAACTTCCAAAGCACCACAGTGCCTAATATTGAGTTTCTCGCTCTATAAGGTCCAAGGGTAAATCCAAGACTTAATCCTTGGCTTTCAGCCCCAAAGAAGCACTGCACACCTCCGTTTAAGCCCCAGAACTAACAGTTGAAATTCAATGGTTCATGTATCAAATGAACTAATATTTGGAACACTCAAAGTATTTTCTACCCACAATGTCAAACCAGTCAGTGGTCATGTGGGGGGCATAGCACTACATTTCTCTGACATGTTGCTCCAGGTGTTGTTTTTTTTGTTAACCTGTTCTATCTTTGACTGCCTTAGGCACCATCTCTGTAAACAGCAGACGGACACCATTTACAGCTAGTGGTGAGAGTGAAATTCTGGACCTGGAGGGAGACATGTATCTGGGAGGCCTTCCAGTTGACCGCTCCAACCTCATTCTGCCCACCGAGCTCTGGACGGCAATGCTCAACTACGGCTACGTTGGGTGCATCCGTGACCTTTTCATTGACGGTCGCAGCAAGGACATCCGTCAGATAGCAGAGGCACAAAATGGTGCCGGTATCAAACCCTCGTGCAACAAGCAGCAAGGAAAACAGTGCGAGAGCTATCCATGCAAAAACCGGGGCGTCTGCAAAGAGGGTTGGAACCGATTCATCTGTGACTGCACTGGCACCGGTTACTGGTCACGTACCTGTGAGAGAGGTAAAATGGGGTTTGGATTTGCATTTTGTCTGCCTTTATGTGAAAACGAGAGCAAATTATAGTTTAAATCAGAGGAAATGTGACACGGCAGAAAATATGACCAAAAAAGCAGAAGGTGTTAGTTACTTAAACCACAGAAATGGTCTGAGATTCAAATGTACACATGTGACATCAAAATTACACACACTAAGTTCAAAAATACTTGAAATGAGGAGGAGCTGAGGAACAAATCCTGACAGGTTTTTCTAAAATAGGATATCCAAATTCACATAAAGACAACTGCAATCCAACATTAAAATTAGATTAGATGAAAAGCTTAGCTGACACAGGTAATCCAGTTTTTGTTTTTTGGAGTGTTTGAGGGGTTTTTTTTATGCTGCAACTCAAGTCAACCTAGAAACAACATTATTAGATCCAAACAGAAAATGAAACCTCTGGTTACAATCAAAATGTGCATCAATGTTCCTCATCAAAGGCGGATTGTTAAAATGCCTTTACTTTTTTCCTATTTTATTTTTATATTTCACTTTTTCCATTTCAAACCAAATTATGGAATAAGATTTTTATATCTACCTTTATGTAAAGATAGATACATATGCAGCTTAAAACAAACAAGTCACCACCTAAATAGACGTGTTTTGATCTCAGTGTTTGAAGGCTGTTTGCATCCTGCTGCTATGCTCTGTATAAAACCTTCTTATTGATGTATTAAACAAGTGAATCGTAGATTACAACACACTCTCACCTGAGTAAAAATGTTCTGCTCTCCTTCATCCTTCTGCTTCTTCATAATCTCACCACCGTCCAGCTTTACTGCTGAGCTGACTGCAGACGTTGTCTTCAGAGAGATGTAAATTAATTCCTAATCCGTTTACAGCTGACACACAATTTTTCTGTTCAGCATTGAGTCTCTCCTGAATTCACCACACAATTGTAAAGAAGGTCTTCCCAAGGCCAGGAACCTACTAGGAGAAAAACTTTCATAGTTAATGAACTCCTGTGAACAAACCATTTGGTGCACAACATTCAGTGCATAGAGAATGCTTCTCTTTTTACATTTTCTTATGTTACTTATTAAGTTAATCTCTTTCCTCATACTTCTACTCAAAAACATCCCATTATGAAAAAGTGGAAAAAAGTTTTTGAGTGTTTTGCAATTTATAAAAATAGAAAATCTAAATATTTTATTTGATAACAAGAACTTTCACTTGTATCAAAAGGGTTTTTCCGTAACATAGGGGGTGAAATTTATCATAGTATCGTTATATTTTAACATGTTGTTTCAGCTGTATTATATAATGAGTGAATAAACTTTATTCTCACATTATTAAACTGACATATTCAGAAAAATAAAACAATAACCTATTAGGTTGCTGAATAGAAAAAAAATGATAAAGAGAACAAAATATCTGAACCAATTAATTCCTCGTGAACAGAGTTGTGTTCAGACAAAAACACGGTGGAGCACCGCAGACTTTACTTACCACTCCATGTCTCCTATCAGCTCAGTCTACAATTACTAGTGGGAGCAACACTTTATGTTAGTTTGCTTTCTATTCAGTTTCCTTCCTGTTGTAGCATTCCTCTAAAGGAGCGGTGATGGTTGTTCTTGAAAGATAGCTTTACATTGGCATTGTGTCTTTTTCCATAATAGTACTTTTTTTTTTTCGTAATGCCCTCCACTTTTCTGTCATTACATCTTTGCCTTCGTAGCACATCAATAAATTTTGTTGAGAAGTTGACTCTGTTCCGCCATGCAGCACGGCTGATTGAGCACTAGATACCTTAGATACCTTAAGGAGCTTGTCAAGTGAGTTTATATTTCAAAACAGAAATATACAGTATACTTTATACAGTGCAACTTGTACTGTATAAAGTGCATGTTGCATCCGACATCAATGTTTGACCTGTTTCATTTTTATGTTTGGTGATGCCTCCACCATAATTACTTATCGTACAACTGATTCCACTTAAGGTAGGTAGGGAATGGAAGAGAGGCCAAAAGGCACTTAACCATGGGAAACAAAATTCTCTGGTCTGATGAGACAAAGATTGAAACTCTTTGGTGTAAATATCAGGCATCTTGTTTGAAGGAAACCGTTGCTTTTCACCATCCTGACAGTGAAGCATAGTGGAGGCACCACAATGCCGTGGGGATGTTGTGTACCAGCACCACTTGTCCATTTCCACGGTGTGCCTGAGTGTGTCAATCAGAGAAAGCTCTCCTGTACGCCTGATAAATTTCCTTCTTGTGTTGAGACAGTTTATTAAAGATTAATCAAAGATGGAAACCAATACTGCCTAACCTTTCAAATTGTTCACATTTCCTTTAGCATATCAAGTAGCCACTTTCTGATCATATCTCCTAATTAAGTTTTTTTTTTTGTCCTCCTGATTTTTCCCAACCAGTAACCTACTGAATAATACTAATACCTCTGACTGCCATGATTACTTTTGAAAAGAGAAGATCAAGGTCATTATGAGTCAATCTGATTAGGAACATTTTCTAAAAGACTTTAAAAATTCATTTTACTATCAGGAGATATTATTTGCCTTCCGTATTTTGATGAGTAAAACCAGCTACTGTATGTTTTTAATCATTAGTATGTTAATCTTAATAAACTTTGGCTTTCTTTTTTTTTTCTCTTAAAGGAAATTAGCTGCACTTTTGTACTGTCATTATTAATAATTTATGAGACTCCAGGTTTATCTAAAGGGAGCATATAATGAGGATTTTGTTTTTGCTGGTATCACAGATGAGATTTGGCAGTTAGCTGGTACCCGGATGTATTTTCCTGCTTCTTCAGAATTAGATCTGTCATGTAGAGCTGATTAACTCCTCTGGTAAAGTGTTAAAGTTGAGCTGAGGGTGAGCAGCAGCAGCCAGGTGAACTGTGGAGATGGAGGAACCCATTTGCATTATTTTCTAGAGCTGTGCATTTAAAGTGAGCAGAAAGGTGTAGGGTTACTTTTCAGCCACTGTGGCCATAAGGTGATGCTTGCTTTTACAAAAAGAAAACTTCAGTTATGATAAACTGTCGGTTTCATTTCTGCACTTCAGTATGTTATGCTTGTTGGCCAAGAGTTATTATCTAAATCCATTTCAGAAAGTTTGATATACTTTAATGTCATTCTTTAAAATACATCAGTTTTGACAACCATTATTTCATTCTGACTAAAACCCGCACCTCAGTTCATAAGAAAACTTTAGAAATATGATCAATAAAATAAGGATTTTACATGATAAATTTTAGCCTGCTGAAGCGCGTGTCAACCTATCCTATACAGTACATTTATTTAATACTTGATGGTCTATCATCTTCTGATTGACAATACTTAACCCTAACACTTTTTCTACCAAACCATTTCTTTCCATTTAACTTTCCATTGATAGATTTGGATTTGGGCTTTGGGAGCTTCCTTAGTGGTGACCTTTTGTTTCTTATTCTGCCTCTAAAGTGTAACATTCAAGTGAGCAGACTTCCCATGATTTTGGTCAAGCCATATTTCTATACCTGAAAGTATTTTTTTACTGATCTTATTTAATAATCCTGAAATTGTGAGAAATTGAATTTTGAGTGAGTGAGAAATACAGACAGAATTTATTCAATAGTTCTCACTGATAAAATAATCAGAATAAATGTAATTAACATAATTAAATTTATTGTTAAATCTGTATAATATGCAAGCATTTTCAAATTGAATTATTATTATTATTATTATTATTATTATTATTATTATTATTGTTGTTATTATTATTGTTGTTGTTGTTAATAATAATAAATTATTATTATTTGATACACCTGTAATAAGACAGTGCATGGAGACATTTTAAGTATATTAATTGTGTCTCCCAAGCAGCTGCATACAAGTAAACAGGAAATGTCGGACTTAATCTGACATTGCAGCTGGAACGAGGGTTTAAATAGTAATGTGACATTCACCTTCTCAGTCTCAGCTGCCTTCCTCTACCCAATCTGCAGAAAAACATGTTGACATAGAACATGTCAAGTCTTTAATTCAAACCTGATAGGAGTCAAATTTTTGTGCAAAACACTTTATAAAGCTTAAATGATTATTTCAAGCTAGATTTTTAACATTTAAATTTGCGATATGTTTTGGCAAGTAGGGAGATGGACTTTGTCTCCCCCAAGTGGCCTTTTGACACCCCTACACCCTACTGAACATGCAGTAAAGGGAAACAAAAGGACATTTAGAGGACACCTAATTCTTCAGCTCATTGTAAGATCATTTATCATATTAAAATTTTGTGACATGAACAATAATCACATCTGATTCATTTCAACAGAAGGCCCAAAGAGGAAACTAGCCATGCTGTTCAGCTGGGGACAAACAGCACCTGGAAAAACAACTAGGGGCTTTCAAGGCACATTTGTTAAATCCAGAAAACAATAATTAAATTTCAATAAAGTGTTAATTTAGATAAATTAACTGCATATCAGCCTATCTTTTGTGCAAATACTACACATCAGACATCACCAAAGAGGATGATTATAAATGCTTTGTTGTGGGGTTTTTTTATGTTAGAAGGTTTCGAATTCTCCTAAATTCAAGATTTGAAAATGTTATAAATTTCTCGCCTTTTCTCGTGTTTGTGGGCATTTCATTTGGATTTTATATGACAGGCGTTTCAGCATTAAAACTATGCTGGAACTCTTATTTATAGTGATCTATGTACAAGGTCAAAGGTTTTTGAATTTTTAAATGAGCATCACAATATTTGTAGAAAGGGTTTTTTGATCAACAGACATGCTGAAAAAAAATCAAAACACAATCTCAGGACTCCACTTTATGAAACATAAGATTCTTTCGCCTAGACCCAGGGTTCTGACAAACAGAGACTGGAAGAAAAGCTGTCCTTTTCTCATGATTGGGTCACTAACTCCAGTTCTTGAATGCCACTGGCTTCCAATTTGTGGATGCATTATTGCTCCCTGAAACCTGAATTGTAAGTCTGAAGTACCTCATTGGGATGTCAGCTAGTTCTTCACATGCCTTGTAATTAACAGTTTACTTGAGTCAAGTTTGTTAGGGCGGGAATGCATTGAAAAGTTGCAGAGCAGTGATCCTCAAGAACTGGATATGCTAATCCCTGTTGTAAGGGAAAGGTCAAATTCATCATTCATCTGATCTCTCTCCCACAGAGGCCTCCATTCTCTCCTATGATGGAAGCATGTACATGAAGGTGGTGATGCCAACTGTCATGCACACCGAGGCTGAAGATGTCTCCCTGCGGTTCCGTTCGCAGCGGGCCTACGGCCTCCTCATGGCCACCACCTCCCAGGACTCGGCCGACACACTGCGGCTCGAGTTGGATGGGAGCCGCGTCAAACTCACAGTCAACCTAGGTATCGTATAACCAAAACACCTACAGCACCAGCAGCTCTTTCTTCATTCATTTGCCCCACATCTCCATCTTCGCCATAAAAGAGCTTTACCTTCCAGGGGTAACGTCTCCGATTCATTGTTTTTTATCTCTTCTATCATCCCTTTAATTCTTCCAGTGACCTTAAATTTTAAAAAAGACATAGTTTACATTTTCTCTCTTGTTTGCATGAGTATTAAAAACAGGTTCTGCACACAGGTGTTATTCTACGGCTAAAACAATTTAGATAATCTCTGACACAAGAAATAGAATTTCTTTACAGAATCACTGAGACAGTTGCAGCACAAATACCCAGAATATTATTGCTTCTGACTCTATCAGTGAGAACAATTGAAAAAACTCTTTCTGCATTTCTCACTAACTTCAGTTCATGTCTTTTGTTTGCTAACAGCAGTATCTTTAATGAACTGTGTGCTTTCTCAGTGTCTTGTTCTTTCCATTCTCCTGTCAGCTTCATTCTTCCATCATGCTGTGTCAAAAGATGGTATTCACCCCTTCAAAGGCCTTAAGCCTGCGGCCCGTCAGGCGAACAGCCCGAGAACAGAGCCCAGCAAAACCTGCAGCTGGCTGCGACCCCATGAACCTCCAAACACTGAGGTTCTTATTTTAATTTGTGCAGTAAATGCTACATACATATATTACATACATTTAGGAATGATAGTGTTAACAGGTGTTAGATGATCTATAAATCCCACTGAGATAATTTTCTCGCTGATTACGTGTATCTCTATCAATTATTAAGACCCTTAGATTTCTGTCTCTGCTCATAATAGAGTTTGATTATGTAGTTTCTTTCTAAAAGTGTAGGCCTTCCCAGTTTGAGCTTCTGGCATAGCTTAGAACCAAACATAGTAGCCGAGTAGCGCTCCAGACTTCACAACTGGGGATCCGGTGCCTCTGTATGGTGCTGGTGCTGATTGGATCGAGGCTGTTTGCTCCCACTTTTCTGTTGCGGTTGACGACACATGACCCACCAGCCACGTGGTGACCAACCCACGATGCCCTCACAGCTGCTGGCAGCAGCTGGACAGGCTTTGTGTTGCACCATTTAACTCTATTCTCTCCATAAAAAGCTAATCAACCTGCTTTTCTCTTGCTTTACAAAGATTTGTTACTTGGAAACAAAAGAATGCAGCAAACATTTAATCTTTGCCATTGGGTTGGAAAAGCCTCGTAGCTGGTACCATAAGTGGCCATTTTAAAGTAAAAAAAACCCAAAAATGTTAAGCTTAAACTATATGAAAAAACTAACTCTTTACCTTCTTCTGTCTGTTTGTTTCTGATCAATTGGTATGAAATTAAATATTAGAATCTAAGGAAATAAAATGGCTACCCTCCTGCATGTGTGCGTCCCCGGAAGGGTGGACTTCTTGTTTTTGGATGTCTGCAGCTATAACCTTGAAGGATGCAATTTCATCTGTCATTTATTCTTCCCCATCTAGACTGTATCAGGATAAACTGTAACTCCAGTAAGTTAACACTCAAGTTTCATTTTGTTGTACTTGTCTTTTTTTCTTATATCTGCTCTGCACTGCTTTCCACATTATTTTAACCTTTATCATGTGGATATTGAGTTTGTCAGTTTTGAGTTAAAAAAAAAAAAAGATCAGAAAATGTTTCTTTCAGTGGATGGCAATTTTCCGCTTTAGCTTTTTCAACTAACTTTAGGGACATCAAAGATTCCCAAAGCAACTTCCCTTTCTCCACTTCCTCTATGACTGACATTGTTTTCCAAAGCCAATCATGGAGCTATTCTCTCCAGTAAGTCATGAAACTTCCAGGAGACCTTGTGCTTCTAGAACATATTTGAAACATTCCCCAAAGAAGGCATTCAGGGGTCCCCGAAATATTACAAATATCTCTGGTCAATATGGAGAGGCAGCAACTCTTGAATAACCAAGCTCCTCATCATGTGTCTTAGGATGATTTATCTCATCCTGCTGAGGAAACTTTTTTCTGCTGCTTGTATTCACATCATAGTCATTTGATTATTTCCTACTGTCTGTGAACATAGATGAGTGATGAAACACATCAACTAGTAAATCAAAAGCAGCTGTCTTTTTACCCCAACATTTCCAAATAGTAATACCAATGCATGAAAATGTTACTGAAAACTTTGAGATACATGGAGTTCTCCACTAAGGATGATTACCCATCTTCCAAAAGAAGGTGGACCATGCCTTCAATCTTGAGGGTGTTAGCAGTCATTCATGTCAACAGCATCACAGATGTTTCTGTTTTGTGACTCAAATCAGCTTCAAATCAATGCTGTTATCAGAGGTAATAGCGTCCAAAGACTTTTCACAAGCTGCACACCTTCTGCCCCCTGGCTACATCAGAAAAAGTAATGAACTAAATTAGCAACATAGGGCTAATCTTGGATTGAACAGGGATTGAATGAGCCTTAGAAAGAGGTCAGACACCCTATATGTAAAAAAACCCTCAGGAAAGGGAAGGAGCAGCAATTGTTGATAAAGGGTAACACATGATGACGATTCAGGCTTATGACCAGCAAAGAAATAACATCTTTTACATTGATTGTACAGAGACTGAATAGACTTTGGAAAATGATATGAAATGTTATATTTCCAAAGTACTCTCCACGAAACTCCACACAACACCTGGCTGCTTCATCTGAGTCCAAAGTTCGACCATCAGTTGAACTCTCCTGTAGTGTGTACAGGTATAGGCTGAAATATGGGATCTTATATCTAAAATACACCTTTCTGTCCCCTTTATGCCAGTCTACCAATCTAAAACCATTAATCCTGAAATATAGAAGTTATATTGGCTTTTTAAAAGAGTCAATCCAGCAGCATTAAGAGCCTTAAGAAGCTTTACAGGAGCTCTATAGTTAAACTGAGCTGTATTTCCAATTTTGTTCATACCAGAATTATTTTCACTTTGATTAGTATTGTGAGTTAGAGCAAACCTTAAGGAATCTGTGGTATTTTTTTTTGATTAACCTGCCAAGATATATACAGCACAACTAGTTAAAACAATTGAAGGTCAGATAATTGTGTGGATATTCTTTCAGCATTTTTTATCATATATCATTCCAAATTCGTTAAGCATTTATCCAAAAGTTATATTTTCTAAGCAGTGTTTCAGTTAGTTTCAAAATGCAGTTGGAAGACAAGTTCTGTGGGCCTGTAATAAGTAGAAGCATTTTTCCTCTCTGCTGCATAAATCTAAATATAATACGAACGCACTGTCAACTATTTTGTCTTTTTTTTCATTGTGTAACTCACTGATTGAACCAAACCTTTGTTTCCCAAATGAATTAGATCCATTCTTGGATATATTTTCAAGTCTCTTCATAGCCTGACAACTTTGTGGCCAGACTGACTGGTGGGAAGACAAAGGTTTGGTTTGAGGCTCACTTTGTCCTTAACTTTGTGACTGACCATTGTTCTCAGGCAAGGGACCGGAGACCCTGTATGCCGGGCAAAAGCTCAATGATAATGAATGGCATACAGTGCGCGTGGTGCGTCGGGGCAAAACCTACAAGCTAACGGTTGACGATGATGTAGCAGAAGGTACTTAATCCTGCTTCAACTGGAAATGTTCTCAGTGTTGCTTTTTTCAGTGTATTATCACCATGCTGGGGTGTGTTAGCTATGAAGCATTCCTCTAATACTGTTAATGTAATTTTTTTCCTTAAATCAGCCCTTTTGTGTTAGTGTCAGACAGAGTTCTCTTTTCTTTTCGTTTTGTTTGTCTTTCTTTTCAACCCATCCCCTGCACCCTCCCCGTCTGCAGGACAAATGGTGGGCGATCACACTCGGCTGGAGTTCCACAACATCGAAACGGGAATCATGACAGAACGGCGGTTCGTTTCCATCATCCCATCCAGCTTCATCGGTCACCTCCAGAGCCTGAGGTACATTTTACAGTCATTTCTACTTTAAATGGACAGAGGAAGGCAATGTAAATTTACATTTCAGACCAAATCTTGTATTCCATATACTTCAGACCTTATAGTGACGTCTCACTTAGGATAGCTGCCAGCCAAGGTTTAAATTGGGCTGCTGCTCTCTGGAGCTGGGTCTCGGAATAAAAAAATGACACATTTGAAGAAACTTTTTATGTATCTTGCATGAGGAAACAAGATAATCAAATACAGTTTAGAGCCCTTAAAGGCAGTGAATTAGCCCTTCACTAAAGCTAGAAATAGGATGCTAACTTCCACATCCTGTCAGTTGGTCTCAGCATGGAGACAGGGAGACAAAGACTTGTAGCCATTCACACCCATGATAGAGGAAAGAGCTACTTCAGGACATTAAAAGGACATTTATGCATATGAAAATGCCCTTTTATATTCTGAATGACATTTTAATGTGTATGCTTACTGTAGAAATATTAGCTGCATGTTCTCTTCCTTTCCACAGGTTTAACGGCATGCTCTATATTGACTTGTGCAAGAATGGCGACATTGATTACTGTGAGCTCAATGCTCGCTTCGGGGTTCGCTCCATTATTGCTGACCCGGTTACTTTCAAGACAAAAAGCAGCTACCTGAGTCTGGCTACTCTGCAGGCCTACACATCCATGCACCTCTTCTTCCAGTTCAAGACCACTTCCCCTGATGGCTTCATCCTCTTCAACTCTGGGGATGGAAATGACTTTATTGCTGTAGAATTGGTCAAAGGGTAAGTTTGACATCAACAGGATAGTCTATTATTTTTGGCAAAGATTTTCTGGAAGAGCTTTAAAACAAATGTGTGTGTCTTGTTTCAGTTGCTGGAGCCAAAAAATATAACTTTGACAGCAAAGTTACAAGAATTTGATCAAATCTCTTTGAAACTAAAGACATTTCTCATTGCAGATACATCCACTACGTTTTTGATCTTGGAAATGGACCCAACCTTATCAAAGGCAAAAGTGAAAGGTCGCTAAATGACAATCAGTGGCACAATGTGGCTATCACCAGAGACAATAGCAATACCCACACACTAAAAGTAGATGCCATAGCCACAAGTCAGACTATCAATGGGGCAAAGAACCTTGACCTGAAAGGTAAGCTGAGAATGTGACTAATTTTGGGTCCATTTTTCATTTAAATTAATAGCATTTCACCTTTTTAAGAAAAAAACGTACTACATTTTATTATCAGAATTGTGAACAACTTGCTCAAAAAGATTAACAGGATGTTGAGGCATGAAGCTAAACCCTCATGTTTTTTATTTTGTAAAAATTCTGAATCAGTTTACTGACAATGTTCAGATACTTTTTTTGTTTGATTTAAATTAACTAATTGGATGTTGACAACTGTTTTGGTTCATTCATGTGTTCTTTGCCTTGTTTGTAAGAGCATCTTTACATTGAATTGAAATTGTGTTGTGACAGTAATGCAAACTGTTGCATTGCAATAATTTGGGCGCTGAAATTTTTTTTTCTGTAATCTGAGGATGTTAGCATATACCACACAAAAATATTTTTTTCTGCACGGTTTCTTCTTCAGGTGATCTGTTCATCGCAGGACTGGGTCCAGGCATGTATGGAAACCTCCCCAAATTGGTGGCTTCCAGAGAAGGCTTTCAGGGTTGCTTGGCTTCCATGGACCTCAACGGTCGCCTGCCAGACCTCCTAAACGATGCCTTGTTCCGCAGCGGCCAGATCGAGCGTGGATGTGAAGGTACACCGTCGCTAAGATCTCTGCCTGATTTAGACTCCTACAACACAAAGTCCAACTCCAACTTCAGCTCCAGCAGCCCTTTCTTCCTACTCAATGCAAACAGTAGCTCCTCCGCTCTGCATCCATACGGGAGCAACTCCATCCTACTAACTGTGTTTGTTGCCTCATTTACCCATTGCTAACTTCATACCAGACATCCAGTGCTTCCTCATGCGCACCACCACATTATCAGCCACATTGGCTGTTTATCTATTGTACCGTCAGCCACCATCAGAGCAGTTTTGCCAGTTCAGAAACATAAACTACTCACTGGTGCTGTTTTTTTTGTTTGTTTGTTTTGTTTTTTTACCCAACATTCTTTTGTAAGATTTGTTTTCTCTACATTGATGTAAATGTTAAATCGTAATATATGAAACAAACATGTAGATTTCTATCCTGCACGGTCAATTAGATTTATGGCTATGTTAAATGGTTCGAACACTGAAAGAGATGGATACTTGTATGTTTACCAACACAATATGATAGATTAGGAGATATTTTCCAAATCTAGTTTAGCCTCCTGCAAAATCTGACTGAAAACTGATTCTAATTCAAAAGGCTCAATAAAATATTTGCCTAATAGTTTTCTTAATCCTCTCCAGGCAGATGTTGCAAATTTGCAACAGCTCAATGCTACTTAGCTAGTCTTTGCAAGTAACTTGAGCCTGAGAGGGTTAATCACTTTTATTCCTAGTAACCCAGTTGATCAACTGGCTTACTGGGTTTTCATTTGAATTGTACAGCATATAAATTACAATACATAAAAAAGTACTCAAGCTTTTGATGCTCTTCAACCCACAGTTAAAATTTTAATCCCAGTTTTAGAGCACAGCTCTTTTTCCTATTATAAACCAGGTTAACTGTTTTCATTGGATGAAAAGTAAATTTGACTGTAATATGCTGCCTATTACAGAATATCTTGCCAATGTGCAGATGACATCAGCTATGCCTGACCTCTTGGTCTCCAAATAGCACCTCAACGTTGTTCTTTTTGGGCAAAATCTGCTGGGGATTAAGTAAAGGGATTACGTAGAGGATTAATATGAAATACTTCAATCCTGAATTTCTGAATTCAGCTGTGCAGTTTTAGGTTGGCCCATGAACCATGTGTCAGGAGTGAGGCCAATGCCTATTGATTTAAAAGCAAGACTTGCCAAAGGTTTGAATGTTTTTGTGCTGCTTCCTGCCTTATCCATGCCTTCAATGTAATACCGCTCCACATGGAAACATTTTGCACTGGCTAACAAACGTCACTGTGGATGAAAATGTTTCCATTTTTTTGGTGCTTTTCTTTTTTACTTGGTTGTTTTTGTCATCCTTTGAGGGTAATGGGCCATCCTACACAATCTCTTCTTGTTTGCATGGAAGTCTGTGTTTTTCTTACACCTGCCATCAGTTGGACATAATGTACTCTGAAGGTACATTTTTAACATAAACTCAGAGCTCAATGAATGTGTTTGTTGCTGTAAAAGATCAATTTGTGTGATGTTATGCACTGTATTGTATTAATTGTGGGAAGTGATTGTTCGGTTTATTTTTCCAAATAAAATCTCATCAATCACAGCTTGGTGTCCATCTCATTTTAATAAATCATTTTGTGTGTGCTTTGGTTTTCTTTATGTCAGCGCCATTCTAACTGTTTAACTTTGTTTCATTTATTTATTTTTTATTTCAAGCTTCCATCACATGAAGATGATTTGATGTTCTTTGGCAAAAAAAAATTAAGTCATAGTTCAAGTCCACAGCACTACTCTATTACCGTCTCTAGATGGCGCTGCTATGCCTCTGGAAACCATAGAACATCTTACATGAAACCTTGATTCACATCAGCCATCAAAAATAAAGGGAATGTGAACAACAAATTCCCTTTATTTTAGGTATCATTTTTTCATTCAATTTTAGATTTAAAGGTCTGGTCAGAAATCCTTCTGTAATAGACAAAACATTTACTCAAACTGGAAGATTCTTCTGGAAAGAATTTTGGACAAACATCTAGAAAGGTTTTTGGAAATTTTCTGAAAACCAAGAAACCTCTTGAAACTTGGGGGAAAAAATTACAATGTATTCTTAAATTGTTAAAAAGACAATGTGTGTGTGTTTTTTTTTAAATAAAAAATATAAAAGTGAATGATGAATTTAACAGTTTGAATAAGCACATTACACAGCAGTACCAGCACTTGATGAACTATGAAAGCAGTGTTGTTTGCAAGAGACCAGGAAGTTTACATATTCAAACTGTTTATTCAAATTAAACAGTTTGAATATCCACATTACACAGCAGTACCAGCACTTGATGAACTATGAAAGCAGTGTTGTTTGCAAGAGACCAGACAGTCATATAAAAGAAAAGGATTCCTTGGCAGAGGGAAGTCAATAAATGTCACCTTATTGACTTCATTACTTGGCCCTTTCTTGTTTCACACAAACAATATAACCTTTTCCAAAGGGGGGAGGAGAATATCTAAATATGTGCTATTTCTAGTCATTTCATGGTCTTTGTTAAATGCAGGGCCTGTCTGTGTTTGGTGGGTATTGTTGGACTCCCACAGGTCCCAGCACAACTTGTCAGGAGGACTCCTGTGCCAACATGGGGATCTGCATCCAACAGTGGGAGAACTACACCTGTGACTGCTCCATGACCTCCTACACTGGGACGCAGTGCAGTGACCGTAAGTTCATTTAAGCACCAGGAAAAAAAGTTCAAAAGTCATATACAAGCTCTCTTTAATACATACACACTCACCCCCCCCCCCCCCCCCCAGCACACACACACACACACATATCAAATAAACTTGATTGATGTATGAACTGAACTTGCATTTGACCTGCACTCTCAATCTGCAGCTAACCCCTCACATCACACAACATAAAACTATCTCAGACATAATAAAAACATATTACGTATAGAGGATATGAAGGTACACTGAATCTGAATACCCCTCGGTGGTTCCTTGCTGACGCCATGAGTAAACGTTTCACTGTTCAACAGGTCCTACATTTGCACATACTGTCCTTCATGGTGTCTTCAGCATAAGATGTTGGACAAATGCCTGTGCTGAAGATGTTCAACGTAGGAGCGTCTTCGTATAGTGAAGAACATCTTCATGTTATGAAGATTTTCTTGAACATTTTGTGTTCAATGTGGAATGTTATATTATGTTCAACATGAGGTGGGAAAGATAGGATGTTCTTCGGCTTATGTTGAAGATGTTCATCATAACATCTTATAAGTTCAATACTTAATGTTGAACAGAAGATGTTCTTCATCTTGTGTTAAGGATGTTTGGCATAAGAATATCTTCACGAGATGAACATCATCTTGTGAAGATTTTCTTCATCTTATGTTCGAGATCTTATGTTGAGCAGAAGATGTTTTTCATCTTTTGTTGAATATCTAATAAAATTATGAGACACAACATAAGAACTGATGTTAAAATGTTCACAAAATCAAGCTACATTTTGTTTTGTTGTGTTAGGAGTGGTATTTTTATAATTCAATTCCTAAAAAAAATATAGTTCCAAATTTTTGACCTTTTGTTCCCTTTCAGTATAATTAATTCAGAAGTAATAACTTCACATTTATATAACTACAATAATAAAATGTATGTAAAAGAAAACTGCTACAACACATAGTGATGTTGTATAACAAAAATACATGATTAAAAAATTTATTAAATTGAGTTGAATTGATAAATAACCGATTGTTTCATCATGCAACATAGATTTTGTATTTAAAATTCAATTAATTTGTTTTATTTTGGAGCTTTTGTTCGGGTGGGTAATTTTTGACCCATCGGACAAGGGGAGTAAACAGAATGCTCGGATCACATGAGGGTTATGAAAGGTATGTGCTGTCGCACATGCTTCAATGGGAGTTTCGTCAGAGGTTGTATTCTTAAAAGCAGTGTTCAGAGTCTTGGCAAACACCAAGTTACAGCTGAGAGACTCTGACACCACTCAACATCTGTTCAAAAAAGGAAAAGCTGCATGTGCCATTTTTATTTTGATAAGAATCCAACTGTTTGGATATTATGTAGTGTACATTTAGTCCTTGTCTTCCATTTTTCTTGCCAAGTCATAGATGATGTTGTCTTGATTAAGCTGACTTTATTCTTTGCTCTTTTGTGTCTTGTTTTTTGTTGAGTTTTTTGTTCTGCTGGTCAAATTCATCTATGTGTTTCAGAAGCTTTTGTAGATGTTTTCTTTGCATATGGTTCTTTTCTCTCCTTGATCTTGTTATGCCACCGTAATGCCCACCATTTTCAAACTCATTTTCAAAACAGAAAGTTTTGGTGATGTTTTTTTGCTCAGTTACACGAAAATGCTTGTGCTTTTCTTGTTTTGAGATTTGGGATTAGTTTGGACAGAACATTTCATTTTGTTGTCTCGCCTGCTAAAGAACATCGGACTTACACCCTCTTAACTCTGATAAAAGACTCTCTCTGTGTGGTAAAGACTTTGAATGTCTTTACATCAAGACTTTAAGGGGATCTTCTCCTTCTAAAGATAATGTAAGACAATTGCTAAACCTTTGTACTGTGAAAAATAGTCTAGTTATTGGATCCTTTTAACAAACTACATATCTAGCTTAATATCCATAGAGTGACAATGTCATTTTTAGCATGCTAACCAGTGGTTTGATTTTACCGTTTCTTCTCTAGTATTTACACAAACACCATATTACTTTTTTCCTAGCTGGTTTCAATGTTCTGCTAAAATTATTTTTAAAAGTGACTTCCAATTTTGTTTAATCAATATCAGATTTATTTTTAAACAAAAATCACAAAAAATAAAAACAAGTCAGGGCTGTTTTTTCTTGTATGATTTGTCTTTGAAGTGATCTAGAGAATAAACCCAGAATGAACATACAGGGTGTATGCTACACCTGGACTCCTCTAATCAAAATAGTACAAAACACTTTTTGAAGCTCTTTTTTCATGAATTTCCACTTGAGTCTGAATTTCAGCTCTTGGATGTTCGCACAACTTATGTCTCGCTGCTCTTTTATCCATCCTTTGGTGATTTTTGAAATGTGTTTTCTGTCAGAGGAACTATGAGTAGAGGCTGACTCAGAGATCGCACAATTGTGTTTCCTATCAGAACTCTTTCTGTCAAAGATTGAAAGTACTCTATGCCAAAAAAAGAGAAATATAGAGAAAGCCCATTTTTTTTACAATCAAGTTTATTCCACACATTGCTTTGCCTTTTTTTGTTTTTTTGTTTTGTTATGGATGATTTGATAAAACATTATAAAGTTAATCTATTAATCCGTATTGAGATTACAAGCCATATGATAATGAGATGTTCAAAAAAGGTGAATATCTTACTTCCTTTTCTGATTTGTACTCATGGTCATGAATTATAGATGAAAATGATCAAATTCTGTGTGAAAACAGCTGAAAAGAGATGACAGAAAAGGGAGGACTACCAATATAAATCAAAACAGTTTTTTTTTTTTTGTTCATAGTTTCTGTGGTTTCTCTAATTTCCCTTTTGTTCTTTTGCATGTGTGTCAGAAAGAAATATGGATCCACAGTAATGCATTTGGACACATCTCATGGTTTGAGGAATTCTTAGGAGTTTAAAATATAGCAAAATACAATAACTTTCTGTGTCTGGGAAAATATTTGCCTAATGAGTTTATAAGGCGGCCCAATACAACATTTAAGTGTTCAGAGAAAATTTATGGAGCCTGCTTTTCTTCACAGGCTCAAACATGAATGCACTTAGGCCCTCTACAATATTCCTTTGAAACAGGCAGCTGACTCTTCACTGACATGAGGTTGCATCATTGCCTGTCAACGTCTTAGCCACAGAATTGGAAATTGACTTTACCATTTCATGTGTTTCCAATTTTCTTGTTTGCCTTCCTTTCATTTCAGTGAACGATGACAGTCACTGTTGATGTTACATCCCCTGACAGTACGTGCACCTAAGCACCAGAATGAAATTAAATATTTGCAGAGTAATAAACTGGTTTTCAGGTCAATAGAACAACAGCTCCTCCATGTTTCATCAAGGTGGTTCTGGTGTGAGACTCTGATGAAACCAAAGACTATTTGTTCTTTGAATTACTGTCCTTATTTTTATTCTTTTCAAATTTTCTTTCTGCAAAATTACTGTTACGAATTAAAATTTCCAATTAGACTTTTTTTAAACTGTAGAGAGACACCAAATAATGCGAAAGCTTTTGATAAAAAAATTGTTTTCAGATTTTGAACTTCCCTTATCCTTTAAGATAACCTTTTCATATCTACCTGTAAAAGTGGTGTAAGACATTTTAGTTTCTTATATGTTTGTTTTATGTTTTTTACTTGCGCATATAGATTTAATTATTTAAAATATTTTTTGATTATGAACTATTTTGCTTTGCTTATTTAGACGGTAATGGAATCATTTCCCAGGATAGGCAAAGTATTTATCCTTCAAACAAATTTTTGATATACCATATTTTCCCAGAGACATTGAAATACAATGAAAATTCATAAGCTAATTACCACTTTCCAGTTTGATTGTGTTGCAGTACTGTAAATTTAATAGTTCACAGAACTCTGCTCTATTTTGTTTACTATAACACCCACTTAAAATAGAAAAAGGCAGGACAACACTAACTTCCTTAGTTAATAGTAAAGCTTTGGTATCCATGATTCTGAGCTCAGATGGTGGAATTTCACACCTTCCGTTGTAAGGATCTGAAGGTGTCCTAACTGTAGAAGCTGGAGTGCATATCCATCACAGGGCTTTCACATAACTGTGAGGAGACCGATAGAAGATGAACTTGTGAAGTAAGGCAATAAACTTAAAAAATGGGGATGAATAGAATGCTGGGAAAAATAAAGGTACTGTGGAATTGGACTGAGATAATTTATGTCTGTGTGGCTCTTTTGAAATAAGAGAAAAGTGAAAGGAGGCTGTGTGTATTAGCAGAGTCAAAAGGCCGGAGGGATGGAGCATTTTTATGAATATGAATTGAACCTGTTTGTCTTGTACAGTTCCTTGAGATGGCATTTGTTGTGGCTTGGTTCTATATAAATAAACTGAATTGAAGTGGCTCACTTACCTCAAAATCAAACAAGCTTTCATATCCAGGGCATTACTACTTCGTATTTCTAAAGTTTATCAGGAACTTTCCATGCACATTCATTGTCAAATTTACTACATAAAATCTTAATAGATGCTGAATATTAGAATAGCAGCCGATGTTTAAGTTAAAGTTATTGGCTTTAAGTCAACAAGAGGGAACATTCCAGATATTTAATTAAAAAAAGACTACTATGACCTAGTATGGCAATGTGAGTGTTACAGGAATAGATTAGTTTCTCTAACTGCTTGGCAAAATGATGCCAACTAGAAAAAAATAAATGTCTAGTAGTCTTGTTCAGATTGGAGGATAGAATTTGAGATAAATAGTGTGATGGGCCTTATCTGCCATAATGTAAACATTGATCTGGTTTGTTGTGGTAAAAAAAAAAAAAAAAGTTTAGCTCAACAAGAAACACACTCAGTTTACCGTTCAATGTCATCTGTGTTTCCACGCAGAGGCCAAAATGATCCTGGATAAAGTGGCTGAATTACCTTCAGTCACTTTATTCCACACGTTTTTCTATATTCTATCGGGTGGTCGGATTCGCCTCATCTCCATGTCCGGAGATTAAGTGAGGATCTAATC